GAGGCGCAGTCACCGTGCACAGGGAGAGCCGCGGCCCTTCAGCTGCTGCTGCCGGGGCTGACAGCTCCGGTGCACAATCCGGTTAGGGCTGCTCCTAATCCCCGGACTGCCTTTGCAGCATTGCATAAACGGCGTCGGAGCGCTCGAAACTCTCCCTCTGTCACTTGCCGCATCTTTTAATTGATTTCAGTCTTTAGTTTTCTCCTCCACTCCTTTAGCCACAGCATCGCCCACGCAGGCCTTGTTTTCCTCCACGCTGTTTCTTACACCTTTGACATCCTCTTGAAATTTGTGGACCCAGCTCTCCTAAATCCCAATAGCAGGTGACAAGAAGGGAACGGATAAAAAAAAGACTCCCACTGGGCATTTAAACTGGGGATCTTGTTTAGTAACTGAACGGTAACAGTTTACTTGCTTGATTCCATTAATTAATTTGGTTCCCAGTTTCTTGTTTGTTCACTTATTACATCAGATCTGTATTCTAGCTTGCAAGATCACTGCAAGAGCATTGGGAAATTTCTTGATTTTGCTCAGTAAATCTGTTGTGCAAAAAGCAGTAACTAACCTGCCCAACACAACTCCGCACTTAAGATTTGCAAATTCACTGACTTTTATGGTCTAAATTCAGGAATATTAGTTTATGCATGAAGAACTACTACATGCTTTTATTGCTGTTTTTATATAAAAACATTTCATTGTTATCAAGTATAAATGAAACAAGAATGAGCACAAAGGTGTGCAGGACAATACTGGCAATTAAAAGGTATGCTCCAAGACAGCCAATTTGGATGGCCTATATAAAATTTTTGATGTGTTATTAGACTGAGACTGGATTTGAGTTATGGAGGTCAATTTTTTACAGCCTGTAGGATGTGAGAGCTTGGGAAAATCGTTTTTCTTGAATCAGCTTTATTTTTATCAGACAGCAGGGGTCAAATTGCTGTATGTGAAGCCTAGATTCTTCAGTCTGATTCTTTAGGTTCCAGCTGGTATGATAAAAGGTAGAACTTCTCCTCTTTAGTAGAACTAATCCAGGCAAACTTCAAACAAATACTGTTTTCTGACTCTATCCTGAGATCTCTCACTTTCTTAGGACTGGGCATTCCTATCAAGAAAACCAACTGTAGAGTTACCTTTCCTCCCTGTTTTCCACAGGTTTATTAAGGCAAACCCCAAGGACTGAACACCCTATTAGAATGAACTCTCCTACTAGTACTTAGGATAGAGGAAGCCATTTCAAGAGTGTGTGGGAGATGCTTGCATAGCCATTATCCTCCTCTTGTACTGTTATTATTATGCCGTCTCACAGTATTCATATTTTACAACATTACCACTTTTTTTTTTGTAAGCTTTGTGTTTCTTTAAAACTTCCCTCAAATACAGTTCAATCTAAGTATGATGCAGAGTTCTTGTACCTTGTCTAACTCAAGACTTTTAAAGAAGCCTTTATTTCTTTTACCTTTAATAGGGAAGGCTTTTGGAGAAGACTGGACTTTGCAGTCAGATCACTTTTGGCCGATACGTGCGACAGGGACGGAAACTAGGGGTGGATCCAAAGCTCTTTATCCAGGATCTGCAGTTTAACAAAGTACCTGTGAGGGTTTATCAGCCTAGAGCTGCCTCTGATGGGCGAAGGAGAGGTATCATCTTCTTTCATGGAGGAGGCTGGGTGTTTGGAAGTCTTGGTAAGATATTTTCTGGAGGAATTAGTGATATAGAAAGAATATTCTCATCTTTTTATAAAATTGAAATAAAAGGAGGTTTCAGCATGTGATCTGGGAGGAAGTCTGCAGATAAATAGATGCCCTTCTGGAATGAACATTCCCTAGCTGTCTCAAAGATTAGCGCAATAGCAAAGCACTAATGAAAATATTTCTTTTCCAGATACCTATGAAAAAGTATGCCGCTACATATCCAGAGAAAGTGAATCGGTAGTTGTATCTGTTCAGTAAGTGAACCCTACCCAGTTCTACTGTTTGGAGATTATTGTTGCTGTGGTGCCACCGCAGAGCTGTCCTGGTTTTGGAGATGTTCTTTTTTTGCAGAGGAAAGTCCATAGAATTCATTGAAGTCCATAAAGAGACAAATAGTGATAACTGAGATTTCACAGCTCTTGAATGTTCATGCCCTGATATACTCAGAAAACATCCAAATGGAAATATTTGGCACACCAAGAATATCTGTAAAAGCCAATCAAAAACTTAGGTGAAAAAAGTCTTCCCTGTGCTGAACACATAATAAGATGCTCCAAACAACTGCGATTTATAGAAAAAGAGAGAATAATCACACTTTGTCACTCCCATTTTACACACAGGAAGCAGAGGCACAAAATGATTAAATTATTTTGTCAAGAATACACAGGGAGTTTTCAACATGACTGGAAATGTACAAAAGCTCAGTCAGACTCTTAATCAGAAGAGAATCCTACTTTACTGAGTCCTTGTGATTGAATACACAATTTACAGCTTCTCAGCAATCGCTGAGGAATACGCGCTTAGGAGGTAGTGAATATCCCAACCTGGAGGAAGAATACCCCAAAATGATAGGGCTGGAAGACAGCATAGGATACCATTTCCTGATTAATGCTAATGACGTTTGCTTCTCTTATACCTGTCTCTTTCTGTGTACTAGGTATCGTTTAGCCCCTGAACACAAATACCCTGCTGCGTATGAAGACTGTCTTAACGCTACCATACACTTTATGAAGAATATTGAGCACTATGGCGTGGACCCTGCCCGTATCATTGTCTGCGGGGACAGTGCCGGGGGCAATCTAGCAGCTGCTGTTAGCCAGACCCTTGCAGGTAGATCAGACCTCCCCAGACTACGTGCTCAGATCTTGATCTACCCAGGCCTTCAGGCACTGGACTTCAATTTACCATCCTATCATCAAAATCGAGGAGTCCCTCTCTTATTTCGA